CTGACAGTAAAAAGAATCAGTGAGAACTTTTTAAAAAATCACTTTATTGAGATATATTTCTTATACTATAAAATTCACCCTTTTGAAGCATACAGTTCAGTGGCAGGCAGAACGTTTTAATAAATATGGATCATGACTGAGAATTACTAACTGGTCACTGGTCTGCCACATGTGCCTTGCTTCTAACAGTGATTAACAGATTTACTGAGAGCAAATTATAAAGTATAGAAAAAGTTACGATTGATTGTGTGAGCAGTGCATGTAGTATCTGCCAGTATTAGCAGTTAACCCCTACTGTTCAAAATACCTGTTGTGTTTTCAAAAATGCTGATGTCCAGGCATTGCTGTTGATGATGAGGATGGTGCCTGAGCTTTAGTGTTTGTTTTTATTTTTTAAAGTTTGCCAAGTGATTCTAATATGCAGGTATAATTAAAACCACTGGCTGTACTTTTATTTCAAATATTACATCTTCTTCCATATACATGGAATAAAAAATAACACTTGGAAAGTCGCATATAGTTATGCCAAAAAGTGAGAAGCTTTAAAATAAATACATTTTTAAGGAGAGCATTAGGAATGCTATTCACTGTTTACTTTTTGTCAGATCCCTGACAGAGTTAAATGACCAGCTTATATCTGTATTAGTTCATCCCAATTATTGACTTTTCCCATCCTCTTCTTTTAGAGTAAATTCCTTGAAGAAGGGATCTCTTGCTGATCATTTTGGTCCTTTCTCTTTCTTACAGATTTCCTTGGGCAGAGACCCCTTTTTTCTGAAAGAATTGAAATCATATAAGCACTTTAAAACATACCAGTTACCAGTACCTTTCTTTAAGAATAAATTGATAAAGGATTTACTTCCCCAACCCCCACTTTTTTGTAAGTAGGTGTTATCAACAATGATACCTTGATTATTATTAGTGTTACTTTTTTTTTTAACATGTAAGCTATACTATAGTCATGTGATTATATTTTGTGAGCAACCAAAACTTTGAACACTTTACATATGTGAACAGTGTTTAATTCTTATTTCTCATTCTATGATACACAGTAGACTCAACAGCAGAAGTTCTGGGTTGGATCTAACAGCCAAATTCCTCTTTTCTTATTCCTTAGCCCCCGACTGTCATATCCACAGTCCTCTAACACTTTTCCTTTCCTTCTTCTTACCCCCAGGAGGTCTTAAACTTCAAATTATGCCATTTCTACTTCTTATTCCTTGATGTCCTGGGTGTTAGCATATAAAGGGGAACAGCCTCTCTGAGCCACACGTTTGAAGATGGCATACCAAGCATATTCACTTGTCTCTGCTGATGGAGTGGGAAGGATTGAGGTGGTTGGTAGTGTATGCAAATAAATGGCATATACAGTACAGCTGGGTCTTTGGCATGTTGAGTGAGTTGTTGCTAGGGCACTAGACTTGTCCAATTTCTAGAACAACTAGAAAATTGACAATTCCAGAATTACTCCCTACTTTTTTACTGGAATCTCAAATGCCTTTAAGCAAGGCCATAGCTTTTGATTGTGCAGTTAGGGTAAAAGACCTAAAATATGAGTTGCCTCAGAGAAACAGAAATTTAAAATAATAAAGATGCATTATTTACTGGAAGCACATCACTTTTTTTTCCAGTGGAAAGTAAATTAGAAGTTCAAGGTTAGAAAAATATGTATGGGGCTGGCCCGGTGGCGCACTGGAGAGTGCGCCGCTTGGGAGCGCGGCGGCGCTCCCGCTGAGGGTTCGGATCCCATGTGGAGACCGGTTCTCGCTCACTGGCTGAGCGCGGTGTGGGTGCAACACCAAGGGTTGCGGATCCTGTTGCCGGTCCCCAGTGCGGGTGTGACGCCGAGGGTTGCAATCCCATTACCTGTCAGTAAAAAAAGATAAAAAGGAAAAAAAAAAAAAGAAAGAAAAATATGTATGGAATGTGATGTTTGGAGGAGGGCAGAGGTGCTACAGGGGAAGTCCACAGAATAGGCTCTGTCAGCCTCAGCTGATTACTGAAAACTACATGGAGTGCATGGAGTGGTGTGCAAACATATTTTTATTTCACCTAATAGCATTTAAGTCCTCCTTTATACTGAGGAGCTTTAGGAAGTTTCTGTTGCTTTCACATAATAGTATTCTGATTCCTACATAAGTCTTTTCTGATTTATAAATAGTTAAAAGTTGCAAATATTTCTATTGAATATCCTTTT